CAGCGTTGCGGTCAGCGCTGGTGCTGACGGATCCTGCTGCGACATGATGGCATGCTCCGCACCCCACCGGAGCTCGTCGATTGGCTGCGTGTTCACTGCGAAGTGTAAAGGACGCCCGACAGCTTCGATGAGACGCGCAGAGGAGCAAGAGAGGGATGTATCGGCGACGATGCGGCTCAGCTAGGCGCTAGCTCGTGACCTCGAGGCGATGTGAGACGTGTGCGGTGCTGTAGATGGTGTTGCTGTGTTGGCGTGGGCTGCGCTGTGTTGGCGTGGGCTTCGTTGCTGCGCTTGCGCGCATTCGCCATGCGCGAGGTGATGGAGGGCAGACGCGTCGCGTAGCTGAACAGCCGATCAGGGCGAGAAAAGGCTTTCTCGCGGCGCCGCCATTCAGATTGCATCACGTGCCATGCCCTCGAACCAAACGCGTGAAGCGCGGCGGGGGAACGCGTTCCGCGTAAAGTGACACTCTTGACTTTGACTTTGGACTTGGGACTCAAGCAGACTCGCGCCTCGAACCGAGCGCTATGGCTTGACACCACGAAGCACGTCACCCCGTCCCACCACCTCGACCTGGCAATCCAAGAGGCTCACCGCTGCCATTCGTCTCATCAATACCAACATTCGACTCCTACCACACCAGCTTCGAACATGCCGACTGCTGTGCGCTCGACCGACTTACCCCCTGCCCGGCCGCCTCCACCCGATATGGATGTGGATGAGGATGATGACTTTGAGCTGGACAAGGCCATGGCAGGCGTAGAGGAGGCACGGTGAGGTTGGAGCTGCTCAATGATGCTGGTACAGCGCTCAGAGCTTTGCTGACTCTGCTCGAGCTGCGTCGATGATGCTGCTGACGCTGACGCGCACGACAGGCTGCAAGCGTTGGACACTTCGGATCCGATGGTGTTGCTGTCCTACTATCGCCACTTGCTGCCTTGGAAGAACATCTTTCTGTGGCTCAACAGGGACGTCGAGGGTGCCAACATGGCCTCCACCTCATCTCCTGGCGCATCTCGCAACTTTACTCATCGAGAGTTCGCTTTCACACTGGCGAATGAGGCCTACTTGCGCTACAATTCCTACGCTACGTGGCAAGAGTTGAAGCGAGACGTGCTCAGATTGAATCCGCAAAGATTCGAGATTGGTCCGGTTTACAGCGCAAAGGTGAGGAGTGACATGCGCCCGCGCCTCGAGTCTCGACTCGGCTCGAATGCGCAGCTGACACCTGCCCACGCCTCGAACCGCTAGCCAAAGGATCGCAAGACGGTGCAAAAGACGTCATTCAAACCCGTGTCTCGAGAAGTGGTGTTCGATATCGACATGACTGACTACGACGAGATTCGCACTTGCTGCAGCGGCAAGGGCATCTGCAAGAGGTGTTGGGGCTTCATCGCCGTAGCCGTCGAGGTGCTGGACCAAGCGCTGCGTTTGGACTTTGGCTTCAAGCATCTGCTGTGGGTCTACTCTGGTAGGCGAGGTATCCACTGCTGGATATCGGATGAGGAAGCGTGCGCTCTGCCAGACGATGCTCGCAAAGCCATCGTTGGCTGGTTGGAAGTCATCAAGGGCGGTGCAAGCGCTGTCAAGAAGGTCAATCTGGCAGGCAGCTCGACCAGTGCCAGGCAGCTGCACCCTTCCCTCAGGCGCGCCTTGGACGGCAGCGTGGATGCTGTCGATGGCGCATCCGACGGTCCTCTGAAGCGCGCATTTGTCGACATTGTACTCAAGGATCAAGACGTGTTCCGAGACGCGACGGGCTACAATCGCTTGCTGGCCTTGCTGCCTTCGGTCGAGACGGAGGCGATTGCGCGGCTCAAGTCGAATTGGGATGCACAGCCGGCTCGCACCTCTTTGGACAAGTGGCAAGACATTATGACCATCGCTGCCAAAGCTGGCGAGATGAGAGCGCGCACGACGTGGAGACCGGCCATGGAGGATATCATCCTGCAATACACCTACCCTCGCATCGATGCTGAGGTGTCCAAGCACATGAACCACTTGCTCAAAGCGCCTTTCGTCGTGCATCCCGCGACCGGCAGAGTCTGTGTACCGCTGGACCCAAGACAAATTCATCAATTCGATCCGGACTTGGACGCGCCCACGATTGGCGAGCTCTTTCGAGATCTAAACGCAGCACAAAAGGCAGGAGAGGTGGACGACGGCGCAGCGCTCAAGGACAATCCGACGGCGTGGGAGCACACTCGACTCAAGCCATTCGTGCAACGATTCGAAAAGCACTGTAGCGCCATCGTCCGTCAGACGAGGGAAGCGAAGAGGGGCCAAGGTGAGTGGTACAAAGTAGCACAGTTGTGGCTTTTGGACGGTCGTAGGCTGACTCGCGCTCGCACCTCATCGTCTCTCGACTCCAGCTCTGGACACGATGGACTTTTAAGCGCCCACTATCCTTGTCTGATCCTAGCTGCCGGTCCCGCAATTCATCCCATCAGCTCTTGGCGGTGGAGATGTCAGTCCTTTGTGACTGTATGCGGTGAATGTGTTTCGCTTCGAGAGTCGACTCCGCCTAGAAACCGCCCCGCGTGAGCCACACCAGGCACCCCGATCGGACCATGCAGCCAAGTGTCAAGTGTTAAGAGCGACGAGTCTGGATGCTGCAATCTGATGTCCTTGTTGCGCCGAGATGGCAGGCAAGAGATCTGGTTTGGGGAGAGATCAGATTCACGCTGAAATTAATTGTGAATGTGTATCGAGCCACGAATTGTAATCTTGAGGGACGGTTCGGGCTTTCTTGGCGGTCAGGACGACTAGTCACGTGAGCAATCACGTCTGGAAATTTTTCCCGCGTGCAAGCCTCGGTGCGAAGAGTGAGCCCTGCACAGCGGCGGCATGCACACTTTTGACTCGAGACTCTCGAGTTCTCGACATTTTTGGTTGTGAAGTCGACTGGTGTGGAGGAAGTGCAACCGTTGTGAGCGTGAGGTGGACCGCTGGCGATGCTCGAGTCGTCTTCTGTTCATCTCCACCACAAAGCCAGCGTGCCGTCGCTCTCGGCGCTACCTTGCTTGCTTCCCTCTCGCACGTCTGCCCACTGCCACGCTCGTTCTTGCCGCGGCTCAAGCGATCACCTCTCCACAAAGTGTCCAGGCCAGGCTCGCAGCCAGTTGACCGATCACAGACTTTGTCTCTGTGCGGTCCAGCGCCATCGCTGTGTGGAAAAGGCTAACAAGGGACGTCGCACCTACTCGAACTACGATGGCGTCCGACAGCAACAGCGCGCCGGCAGCGGAAGCGTCGAGCTCGGCGCAAGCGGCAGTGTTTGTCAAGTCGGCGCCTGTTCCATCGCACTTTGAGCAAGTGCGCGGACCAGACTTTGATCAGCGCCAATCTTTGGAGAGCTTGATGACGGGGTATGCTAGTGTCGGCTTCCAAGCTTCTGCCATCGCCAAGGCCTGCAATCTGGTAGACAAGATGGTGAGTGATGCTGCAAGCGAACCAAAGCGGCCGGAGAGAGGTGCGAGACTGAGAGCGAGTCATCGCTATGCTTCTCTGCAGCGCACATGGCGGCTGAGCGATGAGCCCATCACCGCTGATACGCCCGACGACCTGCTGGACCCCGGCATTCGGCAGCGTACGGCTTGCAGCATCTTCCTCGGCTTCACATCCAACCTCGTCTCGTCTGGCCTGCGAGAGGTCATCCTCTTCCTCGTCAAGCACAAGCTCGTGTCTGCTCTGGTCACTACTGCAGGTGGCATCGAAGAGGATCTCATCAAGTGTCTCGGTCCCACCTATCTGGGCGACTTTAGTCTCGACGGTGCAGAGCTGAGAAGAAAAGGGCTCAACCGCATCGGCAATCTGCTCGTGCCAAACGACAATTACTGCAAGTTTGAGGATTGGGTAATGCCCATTCTTGACAAGCTGAGGGAGGAGCAGGGCGATGATCTGACCAACGTCTGGACTCCAAGCCGCATCATCGAAAGGTTGGGCAGGGAGATCGACGATGAGCGCAGCATTTTGTACTGGGCCGCAAGGGTGAGTGCAATGCCGAAGTTTCTGTGACATCGGCACCAGGCACGCTAACTCGCTCCTCTGCGTCATTCTTGCAGAACGGCATTCCCGTCTTTTGCCCTGCCCTGACGGACGGCAGCTTGGGTGATATGCTCTATTTCCACTCTTACAAGAATCCAGGCTTGGTCGTCGATCTGGTCGGTGACATTCGCAGGCTCAACGACTTGAGCGTCAAGGCCAAGAAAGCCGGCATGATCATTTTGGGCGGTGGAGTCTGCAAGCATCAGATCGCAAACGCGATGCTTTTCGTAAGTGGACCCGCAGAGTAGCAGCTGGCCGGTGTCTTGAGCCCTCAGCTCATACCGTCCCGTCCCTTCTTTCCGCACGTCCAGCGCAATGGGGCAGACTATGCAGTGTACATCAACACTGGTCAAGAATTTGACGGGAGTGACAGTGGGGCGCGACCAGATGAGGCGGTCAGTTGGGGCAAGATTCGCATCGGAGGCGAGAGCGTCAAGGTACGTCCGTCTCAGGTAGCCGTCGCATATTGTCTCGACGTGATAGACTGAATGGGGCACGAGGCTCAAATTCTTGGTCTAGATTTATGCCGATGCTACCATCGTATTTCCTCTAATTATTGCACGGACGTTCGGGAAAGCTTTCTGGGACTCACAGACGAATGCCGTAGGCAATCGATTCGCTCCAGCTTCTTGAAGAGGTCTCTCAATGTGTCTTTTGACTGTGTTGGACGTCGAGGTCGGAACCTGTGCGCGAGCACGCCTGGCTTTCGTGTAGTCTGTTAATTCTAGCGCTGGTCTGATCTGAATGTACAATATTGCAGACACGCCTTCCTGTCCATGTATCGTGCCCGAAGGGTTTTCAGCGGCTGCGTTGCGCCTTGTGATGCTCGTCAAGGCCGGGATGGGGCTCGTTCATTTTTCCTGCAATGGCGTCGCAATTTCAACCGTACTGGACGCGTCCCCCGCGTCTTGGGTGATACAAGTGGTTACATTGCGTCGTGGAGCGCAATGCATTACTGGACGGATAAGCAAAGGGTTCACTCACGACCCGTGACGCGTCAGATTTTGCCACTCCGCCATAAAATCGAGAAGGACCCACGCGTGGAAGGCTCTGGTTGCTTTTATTATGCAAAATGACACGTCGCGATCTGAGTGAAGCAAGATACAATCTCCTGCTCGGGGCCCAAGTTGAATTACAGAGCGCGACTGAGCTCAGCTGTGGCTGCCAACGAGTCAGAGAAGTGAAGATATCAGTCATCGCTGTTGTTCGAAAATGAGGTGCCGACGCTACAAGCAATGGCACGGAAACGATATAACAGATTCTGAGCTGGTTCGGGAGGCATGCCGAAAGAAGCAAGACTGAGGGTCGCGTTGAGTGTAAGTATGGGGGCAAAAGATAGAAAGCCAGTAACAACAAGATGAAGGCTCCTCTTTGAGGCCAGAGCGCTGCTACCTCGACTTCGCTGAAGGTAGAATGTAACGTCAACAGGAGCCTTGCAACAGCCAGGTCGCAGCTTCTGGTGATCAATGGATGTGCACAACAAACAAAAGCGCTGAAGCCATGCTCGGGCTTTTCAAGCTGCGCTCAGCGATTGAGGACCATCGAGGGACTTGCAGCTTGCAGTCAACTCCGAGCACACAGATTGCGTTCTCCATCGACTGAATAATTTGTACTGCTGGTATTTTGAGAGCCCAAAAGATAACGATTTATCATGCTGAAGCTGCCAGCTAGCTTGCACAGCAATTAGGCGGAGGGGAGTTTTGATAAAAAGGTTGGTTGAGGAATGCATACAGCGGGATATCGAACTTTGTCAATGCCAGATTGGCATCGCATTCTGCCTTATTATGCCACATTGTCTTGAGGAATTCGATTTCTAGGCCGATGAGCTAGCACTTGGCATTCCACTAGCCTGACGAGGCAAAAGCCGCCGACAGAAAGTTGGATCCAAAATCGCTTGCCCCCAAGATTGTTTATTAGCTTTGTTTTTTTTTCATACTGCGGCCGCCCAAACACACTTGCAAGTACCACCACAATATGCTCTTAGACTTTGTTTCTGTGGCCTCGAAGCGTGTCTAGACCTCTGTGCATCTTAAGCACTTGCGCTTAACATTCCCAGACGTGTCGTTGAGGCTGTCAATCCTGGTCCTTACTTGTCTACTGATCGAGAGCTCTCGCGGTGGGCCGTGTCCGCAAGACGTGGGCAAAAAGGCGTCTCGATTGCTGGAGAGGGTCCAGCGTTCTGGCCAGAAGTCCTCAAACAGGTGGCTTGTGGTCCAAGGTGAGATCAGGGGTAATATGAGAAGCCGACGGGTGCTACCAGCAAGAATGCACGGTATGCAGCGTATCACAGCGACGGTTCTCACGAATGGGGTCAGTGATCATGTACTCCTTCTATTGGCACAAGTCCAATGCTGGCAGCTTAAATGGCGTCCACAGGCACTAGGGCTGTATGAGCCCCGGAGCAGACTTGATCTTGCTTGCAAGGTTGTGCCATCTGAATTTGTCAGAGCACCAGACGTAAATGGAAGCCCCTCCAGCATTCCCCTCTCACTTCTTCTCCTCCATGGTTAGCAGTTCTAGTTTAGTGACAAAGTTCACTTTTCAGCACTCATACCTTTGCGATTACGCACAGCCTTCCCGCTCAGCTACTCGCACCTCTCTCTTCCCTCCCTTTCCCAAAGCCTTTTTTTCAACGTCGTCAAGATGGTCAACGTCAAGACTTACAGTGATGCTGTCCAGGGGCGCAAATTCAGCGCATCGAAAGACAACTCCAAGAACGTCAACGTACTGACCAAGGACCAAGACAATCGCTATGTTGGCGTTCTGGAGCGCTGCAAAGTGGCTGACCAAGTGAGTATACCTCATTTCACATCAGCGATAGCCTTGAGTGCCTCTGCAACTTGTTCAGCCTGTGCTGATCTGATCCGATCATCGTCTTGTGATTTGAACAGGATTGCGGTCACCGCAACTGCCTGCCCCACGAGAAGTACGGTCGTGAGGTGAGATTTGTTATGTCCTTGTAATGACGTTGCCCTTTATCTTACGTCTTGTGACTGACTCCATTCTTTGTTGCAATGTCAATGTCTCTCAGCCCGGTACCAAAGGCGAATCTGCCAAGATCGTCAAAACGGCCAAACGGGCTCTTAAAGCCCCTTTGAAACTCTCAAAAAGCTTGCGCGCTTTGCGCTCGAAGAGGGAGAAAGCGCCCATTGAATGCGCTCCGTCGAAGACGCTTACTGAGTGTGCGCCCAACTCCAAGACGGCTCGAGCGTGCGTG